ATCCAATCTCCCCATTATCTGTCAAATCTCCTCCTTTTCTCCATACCCATAGTCCATCTTGGTTCTCATGATGTGTATTGGTCAGGACGTGCTAGGTTATGTTGGCGGAACAAACTCAAACTCCAGTAGCTCAGAGACTTATTTCTACATGTCCATCTTGGCAGATGGAAAAGAGACAACAAACCATTAGATCTCTCTCTCCTGTGTTTAAAAAAGCCTCATGAAATCTATCCTATTAACAAATCTTACAGTATCAATAACTACATATGCACGGTTGTACAGCAGATCTCCAGAATATTTGCATATTGCGTGACTGAAATTTTATACCCACTGCATGGCAGCTTCCTATCCCCCTCCCCAGCCTCTGGCAGCCACTGTTCTACTTTCTGCTTCTGCAAGTGACTACATACCTCCAGTATTGTCCTTTTGTGATGGGCTTATCTCATTAGTATAATATTTTCAAGGTTCATCCATGTTGCAGCATGACAGGATGTCTTTCTTTTCTTTGAGAGAGAGCGCGTGCAAGCAAGCGCATGCACACTTGAGGAGCAAAGGGAGGGAGGGAGAGAATACTGAGAAGGCTCTACACTCAGCATGGAGCCTGATGCAGAGTCCCTGCAGGGCTTGATCTCACAACTGTGAGGTCATGACCTGAGCCAAAATCAAGAGTTGGACGCTCAACCCACCCATCCAGGCACCCCAGGACTACTACTACTTCTTTTTTTTTTTTAAATCCTGAATAATGTTCCATTGTATGGATACAGATTTCCTTTAGTCATTCATCCATGGATGGACATTTAGGTTGTTTCCCTATCTTGGCTACTGTGAACAATAATGCAATGAACAGGAGTACAAATATCTTTTCAAGATCCTGTTTCCAATTCTTTCGGACAAATACTCAGAAGCAGGATTCCTAGATTGTATGGTAGTTTAATTTTTTAAAGACTTTATTAAGTAATCTCCACACATGAGGCTCAAACTCACTACTCCAAGATCAAAAGTCAGATGTTCCATCAACCGAACCAGTTGGGTGCCCCTATTTTTAAATTTTTGGAGGACATTTCATGCTGTTTTCGATAGGGATGTACCATTTTACATGCCCATCAACAATGCACAATGGTTTTAATTTCTTAAAAAAGAAACACATCTTTGTCAACACTTATTTTCTTTTTCCTTTTTGTGAAAGTGACCATCCTAGTAGATGTGAAGTGATCTCACTGGGGTTTTGATTTGCATTTCCCTGATGATTAGTTATGTTGAGCATCTTTTCAAATACCTGTTGGCCATCTGTATGTCTTCTTTGGAAAAAACTGTGTATTCAAGTTTTTTGTTCATGTTTAAAAATTTTTTAATGTTTATTTTTGAGAGAAAGAGAGAGAGACAGAGAGAGAGAGAGAGAAAGAGAGAGAGAGCGCGAGCATGAGTAGGGGAAGGGGAGAGAGAGGGAGACACAGAATGTGAAGCAGGCTCCAGGCTCTGAGCTGTCAGCACAGAGCCTGATGTGGGGCTTAAACTCACAAACTGTGAGATCATGACCTGAGCTGAAGTTGGACACTTAACCAACTGAGCCACCCAGGAGCACGGGGCCATTATTTTTTCAAATAAACTTTCTTTTTCTTTCTTCTTCTTCTGAAACTCTTATAGGATATAAACTGTTTCCCTTGATGGTGTCCCTCGCATTTGTCTCTTAAGCTTTCCTTGTTCTTCATTTGTTTTTTTCTTTTTGCTCTTCTGACTAGGTAATTGCAAATGACCTATCTTTGAGTTTACTGGTTCTTTCTTCCGCTTAGTCAAACTGGATGCTGAATCCCTTGAATGAAATTGTCTGACAGTTACTGTATTCTTCAGCTCCAAATTTTGTTGGGACTCTTCTCTGTATTTTCTCTGTGTTGATACTCTCATTTTGTTCACGTATCATTTTCCTGAGCTTGTTTCACAGCTTTATGATTATTTTGAATTCTTTGACAGGTAATTCACATACCTCCCTTTCTACAGGGTCCTTTCTGGAGATCTACTTTGTTCCTTTGGTTGGACGTTTTTCTTGTGCCTTGTTACTTTGTGGTAGGATCCAGACATTTAAAGCAACTGTCTCCTCTCCCAGTCTCCACACACTGGCTTTGTACAGGGAAAGACCTTTACCAATCAGCCTAGCTATAGACTCTGGGAGCCTATGGATAGCCCTGGAATTAAGTGTGGATAGGTCTGGAATTAAGTGTGAATTCCCAATTAGAGAGTTTTGTCAGTTTTGCCTGCAATTTCTTTCTCCCTCTGGTGTCTGACTGTAGTACTGCAGGTTCTCTGGAGCTGGTATAAACTGTCTGGCTCCTTGTTCTCAGCAGCCCCCAGGAATCTAGAGTATAGTGGGCCTCATCAATGCTGAGGTGGGCAAGAGAGAAACAGTCCCTTAAATCTTATGTACATCATGTGTATGTATTCCATAAGTCTAGCTTCTTTCACTCAAAATTGCACAAGCAAGTCATTCACGCTCACATAGATAGCCGTTTTACTTTATGATAGTATATTCATGAATATATCACAGTGTATCACAAAGGGAACCTCCTTCCCCAAGAAGCTAGAACACTGGGTGCATGCTCCACTCTTCCTTTCCCTGAGGGAGAGGCCAAGCTGCCTTTGTTCTCAGCCACCTCCAACCTGGTGCCCCTTCCTGTCAGTGGTTAGATTCAGGAAAGATAGAAGCCAGCCCCTTGGGTAGCTGCCCAAGAAGTGTGAATACCAGATATATGTTCCAGTCTTCCCCTTCCTTCTTCCAGGGGGGAAGTTAGGGTTTAGGGGTTTCCTGTATGTACACGTGGGAGGGCTCAGGCAACAAAGTTCCATGAATGTTCCTACAGGCTTCATTCAATGCAGCTGGCTTTGCACTGACTGGCATGAGGAAGCCTCTTAACTGGTTTCTAAATTTCTCCCAAAGGGAAGTGGTCAGCTCAGAGCCTGGAGCCTGCTTCAGATTCTGTGTCTCCCTCTCTCTCTGCCTCTCCGCCACTCATGCTGTTTCCCTCTGTCTCAATAATAAATAAACATTAAAAAAATTTTTTTAAACAAAGGGAACTGGTCTGTGTATTGTCGATCAATGTTTCTGTAAGGGGGCATGGAGGGTCTGGCGCTGCAGACTGTGCCATCTTGTTGACGTTACCCCAAATCATGTTTTTACCACTTTTCCCACAAAAGTGACTGATTTCAGACTGACATTTCATTGACCAAAAGAAGCTACATGACCACCTCCAAGTTCAACAGGACACATATATCCCTTCCACAGAGAGGAAGTGAAATACATGATGTTTCTGCATCAGAAAAAAACTTTTTTTTTTTTTTAAAGTAGGCTTCATGCCTAGTGTGGAGTCCAACGAGGGGCTTGAACTCACAAACCTGAGATCAAGATCTGAGCTGAGATCGTGAGCCGGATGCTTAACTGACTGATTCACCCATGCGCCCCTCTGCTTCAGAGCTTAAAAGCCACTGGAAGACTTTCACTGACATCTCAGGCTGGAGGTTCTCAGGACACTCAGAGGACACTGCCGGGCACATGAGCGGAACTGAGTTTGGAGATTATGGCTGCAACTTCGGCCTTCCAAACTGTGTACGAATGCTTTTAATGGCAAGGTCTCATCTGGAATGCTATCAGGAAATGTGGTTCCAGCTCCATCTTAGCAATTCACGAAGACTCCTCAGTCAGTGGCAGTGATGTGCATCTTTCAGCTGCACAACCGCCAGAGAGGCTCCCGGCTACCTCAGTCCTCTTGTCCCCCTTCCTCTATTGGCCCAACCCCACCCAGTCTGTAAGCCTTTAGTATGCTACTGTTCCTCTCAGACCTAGAATATTCCAACTTCTTCAGGTCCCCCATGCCCCTACCTTTCCTTCCCTTGGCTCCTTGGGCCTCCACAGGCATTCAGTGCTGGGCGCACAGGAAGCACACAGGGCAGGTAGGTACTACACTTAGTTCCAAAAGCCAGAGACTGTTGGGAAGACTGTTATAGTAACAGCCTGCAGTGGGGATAAATTATTACACGGACGCACTGGTTCTAAGAACATATTTAGAATTACACAGAAACGTGGATGCTGAAAACAAAGGAAATAACGTTTAGTACACTAGTTTAGTTTCTTCTTCCTTTTCCAATAACTACTTTCATTTCTTTCCTCCCCCATAAGGCAGAAATGTTATAATGTTTAACTTTTGTCATGCTTTTCTCTTTAAAGTTGACTCCATGTCCAGCGCGAAGCCTAGTGCAGGGTTTGAACTCATGATCCTGAGATCAAGACCTGAGCTGAGGTCAACAGATGGACACTTATCTGACTGAGACGCCCAGGTGTCCCTCTGATTGTGTTATTTTAGAAAAATGGCTTAAAAATACTTCTCTAGCTTGATGCCCATATTTATTAAAAATTCTAAGTGGTTTGTAAATAGCTGACACATTTTAAAACACTCAGTTCACAGAGAAGTATAGTTTAAAACAAACAATTTCAGCCGCAAGGTGACTAGATGGCTTTGGGCTCACCGACACAATCAGATCTTATGAGAAGTTAGTGAATAATACCAGATGTGGTAGAGATGCTGCCATGATGCCCAGGCCTTTAAAGAAATATCACTTGGACTTCGAAAACCACAGGAAGAGAGAGAGAGAGGGAATGAATGAGTGTGTGCGCGTGCACACAGGGGAAGTATATGAGCACAGCAGGTTAGTGAAAAGAGCAATCGAGAAAAATGCTGGCCCAGTGGAAAAAACAAGATATCCTTCACATGTGACGATAATATAGGAAGAAGGCATAAAACAGAGATCCAGAGGTTTGTGACTGGAGTTCCACACCTGTAACCAAGTCAACCATGATTCACAAGTACTGACCTTCATTTGCTTTCATGAAAAGCAGAGCACACAAATCCTTCTCACGGGTCAGTATGCAGACAACCAGCAGCTATCTGGGCTGTGAGCATCATCCACAACACCATAATTCATATATGAATACGGAAAACCATGTGCCCCCCTACCTTTCGGCAGCGAGGATTGGGACAGCTGAACCTCTTCACGTCACTGTCCAACAGGGCAGGAAAGCTACAGGAGGGGCACCTGCAGTCAAAACAGCAGAGGGAATACGGCTCAGAATATGAAAGCCTGACATGGCTCCGGTCCCATCAGCATGCGGTTTTCAGCTGGACAGCCGTATCTCCTGACTTTTAATGAAAACATGGACTGAGGTTCTCCACCGTGCTGGCTCTTACCAGGAAATGTGGGTGCCACTTTGAGTCCTGCCTCAGTGTAAACCACTCCATAAACGCACGCGTTCTACCTCTGTGAGAATGCCTCGCACATGTCATCTCTTCCCCAGGCCCCCCAACCCAATGTGTAATGATGGTGCTTATAAACCTAGTGATTAAAGGTGCCAAGGAATGTGGTTAAAAACGTGAAATGCAGATTTTCCATTAGTAAAATTATTCTGTTACCGCTCTGGAGAAAATGCCAGAAGACACGGAAGATCCAGCCTTGTTACAGAAGTTTCATCATCTGATGACAGTGGTTAGGCAGTCTTCCTAATGGGGAATGAGCTGACAGATGACAAGCTCTGTCTCAGAGGACTCACCTGACAAGCTCATCGGCATATGCGGCAGCCACTTCTTCTTCCGCTTTCCGCTCGTAGTATTTATATAGGATGGTCTGGGGAAGCACCTTCTCCAGTTCACTGGCTGGGAATGAACACGTACAACTGCCCTCCATGCAGCTGAGCTCTGACTAGAATTGCAGGGTCAGGAGGCAAAGAAGAAAAAGAAAACTCAACCAAGTTTTTAGAAAAACAAAGGTCTCAGTGGTTCAATGCATCCTGCAATGGGAAGCAAATAAAAGTGGTTAAGAACGAGATCACACTCAAAAATAAGGAAAGCATGAATAAACCCCACAAAGTCCATCTCTGGTGGCACCAGGGGGCCTGTCACGGTCCAAACCACAGTGATATAGAGAGTGATGAGGAAGGACACAGAGCAGTGTCTGAAAAGGAGGGATTTGTGGGAGTTGAACTACTTCCCTCCACAGGCTCAGAAAAGGTTGGAGGTCGAGACGCCATGGGAGGCGGAGGTGAGTGGTACAAGGGACATAGATTAAAACTCTTCCAAGAGAAAGGACAATGGCCTCCGGGACGGCTGCACCAGGGGGCCCTGGGTGTTGTCTCCAATGCCCCCAGCAGCTCACTGAGTCCTTCCCACATCACATCACCTCCTCTTCTGCTCTCGCATCCATTTTTAAGGACCCCTGTGACGACACTGCCTGCCTGGATAATGCAGGATAATCTCCCCATTTCAAAGCCACCTAACTAGCAACCTTAGTTCCCCTATGCCACGTAGGTGACAGTCCAGAGGCTCTGGGAGGAGGATGTGGATATCTCTGGGGAGGCCATCATTCTGCCTGCCACACCGCTCTGCTCCCGTTACTCTGTTCTTGACTAAATTTTAAGTGACTTTAGAATAACTGAGGCTAGTGGTTTGATTATTGGTTGGGCATTCACGAAAAGCAATTTTGGTTTTCAGGTGTTTGTTAAGACAACGAAACTCCTTTCCACACCATGTTATGCTAGTGTCAAGAGACGCCAACTTTGGGCAGAGAAATATGATCTTGTATAGTAATTCATTTATTTTTCTAAAGACTTCAAGGTTCTTTTTTTTTTTTTTTTTAAGTTTACTTATTTAAATAACCTCTACACCTAAAGTGGAGCCCAAACTCACAAGCCCAAGATCTAGAGTCACATGTTCTTCAGACAGAACCAGCCAGGTGCCCAACAATCATTTTAATGCAACTATAAAATTCGTTAAAAATTTTATTTAAAAACAAACAAACAAACAACCCCGACAATGCACTCTTATATATTCAAATAGCTGCAAGGACCTCTGAGTTCAGGCTTTGTGTTATAAACATGAAGATGGGTGAGGGAGGTGCTCCTGGCGCAGAGAGGGCAGAGCGAGGCCACTCCCCGAGAGGAAACTTGCCGTGCTCATGACCCAGTCACTGCAAGCAGGGAGGCGCCCTACACATGCTAGTGTGTCTCCATGGTCCCCCCACCCCAAACGGTCACTCCACGAGGCATTTACACCGGTTTGAAGGGTGTCGCACACTCCCCAAACACCTTGCATGCATGGACCTGTCACATGTTCTCACCTTCCCAGATCCAAAGACAGCCTCTTGGGCGTATCTGATGAGACACTCTTTGCAGAACAAGTGTGCATCCGCACACTGCGTCAGCTCCTCGAATGGAAACTCCCCGTAGCAGCAGCGGCACTCGATCAGCTGGCCGTCCTGCGGGCCGTCAGAGACATGTGTGAGACGCCCTGCGCGGGAGTGGAGGGGCAGCTGTGGGCCACGGTCCCCCAGCCCTGAACATGTTCTGAGGTAAAAAGTAACCTTCAGATGCCATCAAACAATGACGAGCTGTTCTTTGCTCCATAAATCTGGCCTGAGATGCTAATACAAATACTAATCATCTATAGTTAGATGTTAGATAACATTTAATGTTAGATAACATTTTTGTTATCGCAAAAAGCTTCCAAAGTTGCATTTTGCTCTCTTGTCAGAAGGCAGGAGTGTGAGGGGCTGTATCTGAGTCCACGCTGTATCTGCAGGGACCCCTGGAACCAGCTAGCGCAGCAACCTCTGGTGCCGTGAGGACCGTTAACTCGTTCCTCTCAATAATGGTGGAGACAGAGGCAGTCACCGGTCCATTCCCTCCGTGCTAGAAAAGGCCGCTACTTGAGGACAGCAGAGAGCGTACAAGTGACCTGGTCCTCAGGTTAGACACAGTGCTTCCTTCTAGCCCTTTGGCACCGGAATTCTGTATTTTCCTCTAAAAGTCTATCTAACGGATTCCAGGCAATGTCTTTCAAGGCAAACGATTCTGCGTTCTCTTTGCTTCAATTCTGACCCAGCCTGGGATCAAGAGTGTTGACCATGGTTCAGGTCCCTGACTGCAAGTCGGTTGAACCACAAAGTCAGTAGATCAACAGTAGATCATATAGAACCAGTTTGCCACTGGGAAACACCATAAAGAAACATCACGTAAATACCCAGAATAAACGAATTTGTGAGATTTTTAACTACCTTTTGATACTGTTCTTCATTCATCTGCAGGGCAAGCAGGAAGTCTTCATGCTGGGAACAAAAATAATATATGCCGATGTAATTTAGCGAAGATGCCACAACCCCCTAGCATTTACTTTCATACTTTTCAATTACAAAAAAATCATCTCTTCAGTTACACAATTCAGTAGTTTAAAAAGTTACCTCAGAGTAAATTTAAATTGCACCAGAAAGCTAAATATTAAAAAGAAACCCAGGAAATAAGAAAATCTGGGGGAACCTTTCTTATATGTGACTCAAAATGTAGAAGGAAGAAGGGAAGACACGGGTACACAAAACACTTGTGAACAGCAAAGACTAGCGCAGGCAAACTAGCGTGAACGGGCCACGACCTAGTCTGACCCGGTGTTTTGTTGGCATGGCTGGAGCGGCACAGCCACTCTGTGCACACGACCACTATGGGTGACACCTGGCACCAAAGGACAGTTATGTGAGCATTTACCCTCTGTGAGCATCAGTTGCACTGCCAGGAATGTATCCCCAGGATGCTCTGGGGCAAAAACGGGAAATGAGGTATACATGAGGGATTTCCCACAGCAACACCTTGAGTGTCCATCAAGGGGAACCGCCAAATCAACAGCGGTAATGCAGAAAACTGCACACAGGTGGTTTTAAAAAGGAAAGAAGAGTCTCTGGCTTGTGAGTGGTGAGCAGTATACACTGTTGGGTTTAAAGGCAAGAGGGCAGAAAAGTGTGCCACCGTTCAGGTAAGAAAGCAAAAACCATAGAAAATAACCTCCTCTAAATTTCTTAAAAAAATTTTTTTAATGTTTTATTTCTTAATTTTTTTTTTTTTTTTTTTTTACTGTTTACTTAATTTTGAGACAGAGAGAGACAGAACACGAGCCAGGGAGGGTCAGATAGAGTGGGAGACACGGAATCTGAAATAGGCTCCAGGCTCTGAGCTGTCAGCACAGAGCCCAACATGGGGCTCGAACCCACAGACTGCGAGATCATGACCTGAGCTGAAGTCGGATGTTTAACCGACTGAGCCACCCAGGCACCCCTAATGTTTTATTTCTGAGAAAGAAAGAGACAGTATGAGCAGGGGAGGGTCAGAGAGAGAGGGAGGTACAGAATCTGAAACAGCCTCCAGGCTCTGAGATGGCTGTCAGCACAGAGCCCAAAGTGGGGCTTGAACCCATGGACCGTGAGATCATGACCTGAGCCGAAGTCGGATGCTTAACTGACTGAACCACCCAGGTGCCCCAACCTCCTCTCAATAGATTTGCTTTTACGTAAAATGAGGAAAGCCAGACTAAAAACTATTAACAATGGTTATGTACAGAGGGACTTAAGGGTCATGGGAGGAAGGGATAGGACAGAAGGTAGATCTATTTCCAGTTTTATAGTTTTGACTTCAGAACTAACAATATTTTATAACATCAGATAAAAGCAAATAAAAAACCAACTCCTTGACACCTGCAAACTGGTTTCTCATTTATCATATCAAAACCCCACTGGTTATCAAGGTAACATAACCACACAGTCTCTAGTGACTTTATGATATTTTGATTTCATTTTCTTAATCTGACACAATTAAACAAAAAAAATCATAAATAAAGTTCAGACTGTATCTGGTGGCCTTGTTGGTAATGATATTGGATTATTATTTTGGAAATATTAAGTATATAGTATAGAATGAAGAAAACAAGACATTATGCTGCTATTAAAAATCATGAACTCTGGGGCACAGAGCCTGCTTGGGATTCTCTCTCCCTCCCTCTCTCTGCTACTCCCTAACTCACACACTTGCACTCTCTCTCAAAATAAACAAACTTAAAAAAAAAAAAAAAATCAAGATTTTTAGCAAAGAAGTACAAACAAAATGAAAGAAGTAAAAAAGAAAAAAAAAAACCCAAAACCCCTATATACTATATTTGAAACCGAAATCTCAGTATGAATTCCCAGTAAAAGAAAATAAGGCATGGTACAGACACTGGTGGTCCAAGGTCAAGGTCAAGCAAAGCAGGTTGGAGGAAGGAGGGATGCTGTAAAGAAGGACTGAGGCCAGGACAGAGGCAATGACCTGAAGGGGATGCCACTGGCCAGAGGTGGAACAATGTGGATGAGAAGAAAATGACTACAAGGAGCCATACTGCAAACCTCTTTTAACACCTCTTTTCCCCAAAAATTCTCTTAAAAAGTTTTTTTATAACTCTTTAAGTTTATTTGAGAGAGGCAAAAAGTGCATCGTGCAGGGGCAGGGAAGAGAGAGAGAGCAAGGTGGGGCGGGTAAGGATTTCAAGTAGGCTCCACGGTCAGCACAGAGCCTGACCTGGGGCTCAATCCCATGACTACGAGATTATGACCTAAACTGAAATCAAGTGTCAGATGCCCAACCGACTAAGCCACCCAGGTATCCCCTTTTAACACTGTTCTGATGAGAAATTAATGGCTGTGATGCTTTGATGCTGTACCATGAAATGTGCCAGCATCTGCAGGACCCACATAATACACAAATTAGTCGTTTACGTGACAAAACCACGAACGTGTGGAAGATCCATTAAAGTGCAAGGGGTACTAACAGCTGTTAATGTGGCAGATGACAGGCTATTGTGACAGGTGGATCAAAAACTTTAATTTTTGCTCAAGAACTAGAATTTTATCACTGGCTACTATTACTTCATTTTTGAAATAATGTCTGCCCAGTGCCTATTCCTGAATAAGAAGTTTTTCTGTCAGCACTTTTTCAAGTTTAAAAAAAAAAAAAGGGGGTTTGTGGGGGGAAAGGGGCCTAATTTGGCAACTTGCAGCACGAAGGCACCAGCACTTCCTGAGACAGCAGAGGCACTGTGCCAACTTCCCGGGGTGTCACAGAGAGCATCGAAAGGTGACGTGTTCAGGAGTCAAAACTTGATCGAAGAAGTACATCTTACTCTTTCATGAAAGGCACTTTAATTAAAAAAAGTTGTTTTTTTAAATTATTTATTTAAAAGGCGGCTCCTAGCTCAGCGCTGAGCCCAACACGGAGCTTGAACTAATGACCCTAAGATCAAGTCAGATACTTAATTGAATGAGCCCCCGGGGCGCCCCTCAAAGGCGTTTTTAGAACACTGGCTTCTTTTTTAAAATATGACTGGCTGGTGGCGCAGTAAGTGATTACTAGCACAGTCTGGTGCCACCAATGTGATTTGTGCCGAGGCACCACCGCTGCTGCTATTCTGTCAGTACGAATTCAACAGAACGAGGAAGGCACATGAGGTCTCATGAGGGTGAAAGATGTGACCTCGCAGGTCTCCTAAAGAGTCTGGGGAGCCCAGGGGTTCATGCACCGAATCTGAGAGCCACTGGTGTAGAAAATACAAAGCAAAAAACCGACACATAAACATGCTGGTTGGTTTGCACACTTGACAGTTTACTCGGAAGAACTGAAATGCTAAATTCTCTCTCTCTCCGGTTGTTTTGCATCATTAGAGGCCGACAGAGGTGAAATAGGTATATTTACGAAGCTCCAATTAAAATTCTCTAATATAAATCTGACTTATGAAATGGTGAACTTTAGTCAGTATCATTAGAAAACTTAGTTTTCTTTTTTTAAAAGCTTTATAGTTTATGAAAATCTACTACCTGAAAGAAAATGTAAATCTCAAAAGACTTTTTTTTTCTTTTTTTAAAGATTTTTAAGTAGGGGCACCTGGATGGCTCAGTCGGTTGAGCATCTGACTTTTGATTTTGACTCAGGTCATGGCCCCAAGGCTGTGGGATCAAGCCCTGTGTGAGGCTCTGTGCTGAGTATGGAGCCTGATTGGCATTCTCTCTCCCTCTCTTTCCCGTTCAATAAAAATTAAAAAAATGAAAAAAAAAAAAAAAACATTTTTAGTAATCTGCAACACCACAACGTGGGGCTTGAACTCATGACGAGATCGAGTCACATGCTTTTCCAACTGAGCCAGCCAGGCTCCCCTTAAAAGGCTGTTCTATAACTAAGCCCTAAGAGCAAACCAGAACCCCAGAAGCACCCCCAAGTCCATCCTCCTACCTCTGCCATTTCCTTGATTTTCTGCTCATAGAACTCCTGCTCTTGCTGCACATCTGGGAGAAGGGCACGCCGGTCGTAGGACCTACAATGTCGCCGCTTATTTTCCAGAAAGAACATCCTCTTTTCTATTTTTATGTCGCCTAGAAGATATATGACAACACAAGATCATGCAGACTACGGTTGCTAGGAACTCAGGACGGCCATCCCAGTCTTCTGTGGCCCGGTCCCCCCACAACCTCTAGCAGGGCGTCTGTGACTCTCGAGACACATTCTTTTTTTTTTTTTTTTTTTAAATGTTTATTTCTGAGAGAGAAAGAGAGAGAAGGAAAGAGAGAGACATGAGCAGGGGAGGGTCAGAGAGAGAGGGAGATACAGAATCCAAAACAGCCTCCAGGCTCTGAGCTGTCAGCACAGAGCCTGACACGGGGCTCGAACCCACGAACTGTGAGATCATGACCTGAGCCGAAGTCGGACGCTTAACTGACTGAACCCCCCAGGTGACCCATCTCGAGAACACATTCTACAGTCTGGGAAAACTCAGCTCCGTACCATTCCCTAACGTACCATGCACTTTCTGGCTTCCGTGTTTTCTTCTCTCGTTACGCTCCCACTGGAAGGTCCCTCCTGTCCTGACAGAACTGCACGGTGCGAACATACCCGTTTATTATCCATTCTACCAAGGGCAGTTGGGTTTATAGTTTTGGGTTACTAGGAACAGGGTCGCTGAACATGGCTGCACTTCAGCTGAGCACGTGTGAAGGAGCCGAAGTGCTGGATCACAGATATGTATAGAGCTGCATGTCTGCAGCTTCTGAAAGCAGTGCCAATTTTCCAAGGAGTTGTGCCGACGTACACTCTCCCTCCTCTGGCAGCGTGTGCGAGCTCCAGTCACACCACATCCTCACCACCTGTACTGTCAGCCTATAATTGTAGCCATTCTGGCAGGTGCACAGCCATCTGATGAATGTTTTTTAAACTTTTTACTGTGAACATCTTCCTACAGAAGAGCTGAAAGAGTAGTACCTCAATTCACGATAAGTAACATTTAGAATAAAACACAACCGAATGACAAATGTCAGACTGTGTAATTGCCCTGTTCAGGTTTTTTATTTTTGTGATTTCATAACTTACATTTCCTAGAAAACTGTCTATTCCACTCAGGCCTTCTAATCTTTCACTAAAGTCTCTTCTTCGGAATACCTTTTGCTTTATCAATATTTTCTACATAAGGTTCTTTGAGAGTTCTCCACTTTATTCTTTTTAACAATTAAATTAACTATTCCAGTACCTTGCCTTTCCCTGTAAGTTTTAGGATAAGTTTCCCTGTAGCTATCAAAAGTCTTGTTGGGATTTTGATAGGAATTACATTAAGCTTGTGTATCAATTTGGGGAGGAGTTCCGTCTTTCCTATGCTGAATCTTCCTGTCTATGAACACGAGACATGTCTCCACTGACTTCTATCTCTCATTTCTTTCTTTAGCGTTTTGTAGTTTTTGTAAACTTGTAGTTTTACAAGGTCTGTACATGTTTTGTTAGATTTACACCTAAATATTTAATTTGGCGGTATGGGGGAGTAATTATAAACAGTATTGCATTTTAAGCTTTGATTTCCACATACTCATTCTGGTATACAATTGGTTTTTGTAGGTTGACCTTGTACCCTGCAATGATACTGAACATACTCAATAATTCTAGAAGTACCCCTAGAGTTTCCTGAGTAGACAATCACATTATCTTCTTATAGAGGCAGTTTATCTCTTCCTTTCTGATGTGTGCCTTTACTCCACTGGCTAGAATTTCCAGTACATGTTGAATAGCAGTCAACAGACATCCTTCCCTGTTCCCAATTTTAGGGGGAAAGGATTCAACATTAAGTAGGATACTAGCTTTAGGTTTTCTTGTAGATGTTACCAAGTTGAAGAAGCTTCTCTCAAATTCCTAACTTTGAGTTTTAATCATGCATAGGAGTTAAATACTGTTAAATGCCTTTTCTGAAATCAATTAATACGATCATGTAATTTTTCTTCTTTAGCTTGTTAATATGGTGAATTATACGGATGGTTTTTCAAAATATGAAATTAGCCTGGCACCCCTGGAATACGCCCAACTGGGTCATGGCACACAATTTTTTACATATGGTTCTGTCCTATTTGCTAATATTCTGTTAGCAATTTCTGCATGTCTTTTATGAGGGATATTGATCTATTTTTTTGTACTGTCTTTGCCTGCTTTTGTTATTAGAAGACACCATGTAGAATTCGTGTGAATTCTTCTAAAAAAGTTTGGAAGAATTTTCCAGTGGAAAATCAACTGAGGCTGGAGATTTCTTTTTTGAAAGATTTGAAAAATTATGAATTCAATTTCCTTAATAGCTACAGGGCTTTCCAAATTATCTATTTTAACATGAGTAAGTCTTGGTAGTTTGTGTTTTTTGAGGAACTGGTCCATTTCATTTGTCGAATCTGTCTGTGTAAAGCTGTTCATGGCATTCCCTTTGGCTGTCTGTAGGGTCAACAGTGATATACCCTAAAAAGGGTGACAACTCTAGATACTGGTAATTTGCCTCTTTTTCTTGGTCAGCTTTGCAAGAGATGATAGGTTGTTATTTTTATTAACGTTCACTTTACATCTAAATGCTACCCAGACTCTTCATGAGAAGACTATGTAGTTATCAGCTCATAAAACCATAAAAAGGACAGTGGAGGGAGAATCCTGTCTCCCTCTTTGAGCAAAGCAAGGTATAACCCAATAGCAGTGCTTGGCTGGAAAACAGCAAAAAAGGTGAAAAATTAGGTTCCTGGAACAGACAGAGGACTCTCAGACTATCTATATTTACAAACTTCTGTCTAGAAAGGTTAAGTGTATCTGTAAGTGGTAAATATCAATGCTGTGTGCTGTCTCCATGCAGCAGATTCGTGTGGACTATGTTCACCCAGACTTTCAAGGAGATTCTGAGAAGCAGAGGAGGCACACAGAGAAGGGCAGTCAGAAAGATGAAGCAGCAACAGATTCCAAGTCTTTTCAGAGACAAGAAGCATACTCATGGCAGGAAATTTCGGGAACATTTTTACCTGTTAGAAAAGAATTCTGTAAAAGATAGAGCTGACCAACAAGGAAGTGGACCATCTTGCAAAGTGGTACTTCCTTTTCTCTACCACTCAAAGTTAGAAACCAGTATGGAATGACTGTGTACTGGGATGCCTATAGTCCAAACTGGGGATAAACCTAGCTGAACGAAGAACCACCTACACACCATCCCTTCTTTCTCAGTCTTTGGCGAAACTGGTGGAATGTCATGGCAGAGAGCACTGCACCACAGACTAGCCTGGGGATCTCACAAGTCAAAGTCTACGGGTTTCCTTTTAGATCCTCAGAAGCTCAGGTGCGCCTGGGTGGGTCAGTCAGTTAAGTGTCCGACTTCGGCTCAGGTCATGATCTTGTGGTTTGTGGGTTCGAGCCCCGCATTGGGCTCTGTGCTGACAAGCTCAGAGCTTAGAGCCTGCTTAGGATTCTGTGTCTCCCTCTCTCTCTGCCCTTCCCCAACTTATGCTCTGTTTCTCCCTGTCTCAAAAATAAATAAACATAAAAAATTTTTTTTTCAGATCCTCAGGAGCTCAGAAACCCAAACCCTTTCCAACTCTATGGTTACCTCCCAGAGTTTCCGTTTAGTCACACCTGCAATCAAATTACATAACAGTACAGATTTGAGAGAAAGGCAAATAGAAAACAAAAGGGAAATAATCCTGTTTCTGACATAATTTACAGGAACACTTACACAGTGCACTCTTTTATTGGTCACCAATGACTAGGCTCAGATCTGATGTAAAATCCAACCTGAAGTAACCCCTCTGGAAGAGCTTACAGCAGTTATTTCATCAACAATAGAATGTTCAACAAACAAGTGGCTGTTCAGGAGCTGTGTGCTTTTCCTGTGCAGAAGCCACCCTCTTGGGCACACAATCAGCCTCTGGTCTAGATAACTGCACCAGAGATAAAGCTAATTCTTGTCAAACCTGGAAGACCAGCTCCAACCCCCAAGTTTGAGAGTGTCTCTGAACATTTTCCCACACATAAGCTCTGATACTGCACAGAATGTTCTGGTCACGGTGTTTGCTAGGCAGAAAGAAGGCAGGTGGCAACCACAGCCACTTTCTAAACATACAGATGTACCCTCAAAGCAGTCCATGTGGTCGATTCCTGGGCTGGCCTGGTAGGACGGCTCTGCCATGACTGGCCTTTATAGGCTGCAAGGGAAGGAGGTGGTCTGCACGGCCGCTACACACACTATCAGCAAAACTCAAAGTTGGCCATTACCTTGTTCAAACTTGAAATCTATGTAAGAGTACTGATTCATTTCTTTTCTCTTTTTTCTTTTTCCACTGGTTTCTGGCGATAGCTCCTGCCATTTTTTAATGGCATCAGAAAAGGCCTAAAAATTGAGAAAGGGAGAGGTTACCGCCATAAACAGGACACAAGAATACATGAAAAGAAAGCCAGACAGTCCCCAAACCTCATTCTGACACAGTTTCAGACGTACGGCTTACCAGAAACGGGCCATAGCAAAACAAACAGGGAGCATTTTATTATTTTCTGTTCTTTCATAAACTGCTACAAGGGCAGAGGCAAAGGCTAACTGACAAAGGGAGACATAAGGTAACAGCAACTATTCAAGCCGTCCTCGACCACGTCCAGGGATGGTCACCTAACAGATGGCTGGTGGGTTCCACTTGATAGGCATCCCCTAAATAGTCTACCTCTGGCCAGCACTCCCCGTCCACTTTCCATGAACACCCCGATGTTCCTTGCAGCTTCACCTGGGTCCTCTCTCTGCACAGCACACTGCAGGGCAAGTCTTATGCCAGCGATAATCCCTTTTCTTCCGTACCCTAAGCTTCTTTCTGTTTTAGATCTTCCAAATGACACTTCAATGCACTCAAGTCTTTGCCATCTTAAAGGAAAAAAATCCTCCCTACCCTCTCCTCCTTCCCCTTTCGGGTAGCAGCCACCACACCCCAGCCCAAACCTGTCGAAGGGGTCATCTGTCCACTGTTTAACCAACTGAGCCACCCAGGCGCCCCGTCATCTGTCTACTGTATCCTCATCTAGACTCTTGGATGTCTCCCAACCCCTTCCCATCGGGCACCGAAACCCATCTTTCCACTAGCTAATCTCCTTGGTAACAGGAGGCAAACTCCAGCCCCCAAGTTGTTGTTTTTTTTTTTTTTTTAATATTTTTATTTATTTCTAGGAGAGAGAGAGAGAGACAGCGTGAGCAGGGGAGGGTCAGAGAGAGAGGGAGACAGACTCTGAAACAGGCTCCAAGCTCCGAACAGGGAGCCAGCACAGAGCCCGACGCAGGGCTCGAACCCACGAACCGCGAGACCATGACCTAAGCGAAAGTCGGACGCTCAACCGACTAAGCCACCCAGGCGCCCCTCCAGCCCCCAAGTTTTAGTCCCCACGTCACCTGGCCTCTCAGCAGCATTGATGACGCGGACTGCCCTTCCCTCCTGGCATCCCGTGCCCTCTTTGCCCACTTCTCCTCACCACCCTCCTCCACTTGGCCTCTACATGCAGGGAAGCCTCTGGGCAGCCTTGGCTCTTTCCCTGTGCCTACCTCATCCAGGGTGGCGAGGTCACCCTGTGTGTGCTGATGAACCCCACGATCCCACCTCTTTTGGCCATTCAAGCACCCAGATGGATTCTTTGTACCTGTAGGCCTCATGGACCTCACTCAACATGCTAGCAACTCAACGCTTTCCAGACGGATTTCATGATCCTTTCCCTTCCACTTAGCTCTTTTACAGTATTCCTCATCCCAGGGGAGACATCCCTCCAAACTCCCTCACCCAACTCCTACTTCCAGAACATTCAAGGTTTGTGCTTAATGTCTCTTGCTCAGGGAGGTCCTTCCGGGGCCTCCTGGTCCACCTGTTACACTCTTCCTGAGCACCTTACATTTTTCTTTCAAAATGCTGATCATGGTAATCATATACTTATTTGTCGATTCTACTTCATGTTATCCCCTCCATGGACTACGGGGTTCATGTTATATCCCCACCACGGACTATGAACTTCATGCTATCCCTTCCACAGACAAAGGCGGTATCCGCAGCGAGCTGCACAGTTTGCACTTTACACCCATTTGGTGAGCAACAAAAGGTCCAGGGATGTGTATGTTACAGGAAAGTTGTTAAAAAGTCACATTCAGAATGTCTGAGGGGAGCAGCTCTGGTAAAGTGAAAGCAAGAGAGAGCAAGTGTTCCAGCTACAAAAGAGGGAGACTCACCCTTTCACCTTCACTGCCTTCCATCCCTTCCTTTTCAAAATCGGAGGTCTAGGAACCGGATGGAATGGCCGTGCACTTCCACACTGCTGTGAGCTAAGCCCTTTGTGTGGCATCGATAGTGCTCATGTCACAGAATCTCTGAAGGAGGTGCCCTTTCACAGCAGACGGAAGCAAGGCTTACAGAGGAGGGACCTGCTCCCAGGCAAGTTAACTGATGCTGGGACATAAGCTCAGGCCAGTTGCACGACTAAACCTCCTTCTTTCCTTTGACACCACCGGGTCCTCCCAGAGCGGTTCAGGGAAACCCACCAAGAGATGGCCACAGCACAAGTCATCTTACTGCCTTTCCATCTCCCTGACCAACGTCCTCCCTTGCTTTGTTTCTTCTTTTTGGAGTTCTATCTGAAGTATTCCCCACTAACGCTAAATGTCACATGTTTGTACTCAGCAGCACGGCCACTAATTCATACCAAGTTTTACCTAGAGGTAAACATTCCATCCTTGAACCAGGGCTATTTGCAAAAATCCAGGAAAAAAAAACAGGACAGGTACAATAATCTGAATTTTATAAATGAGGTGACTAAAAGGGTAGACGCCATTTATCAGGAACTGATGAAACTGGACTGTGAACTCAGAGCCTATAACTGGCAGCCCACTGGGTTTGTAACCACAACACCCTCCTTTCTGGAGATGAAACACTACCTTTCTCCCATTTAAATACTATTTCTACTTAGCAGGAAAAGAATCCATACTGGTCCTTGTCAGGAAACTGTATCTTAAAACAGATGTTGCCAACGAATTAAGGAGCCTTCACAATCTTACTTCAGTAGTTGTAATGATCAGCCCTTGTCTTAATATTAACTAAATGTCTAGCCAAACAGACCAAAAAATATATAAATCAGAGTTCTTTCCTTTCTTTTTAATTTTTTTAATGTTTTGTTTTTTTGAGAGAGAGAGAGAGAGAGAGCGAGCGCATGAGCAGGGGAGGGTCAAAGAGAGAGGGAGATACAGAATCTGAAACAGGCTCTAAGCTCTGAGCTGGCAGTCAGCACAGAGCCCAACGCGGGGCTCAAACCTATGAAACGTGAGATCATGACCTGAGCCAAAGTCGGATGCTTAACTGACTGAGCCACCCAGGCTCCCCAGAGTTCTTTCCTTTCAAGCACTGCTAGAGTTCACACCTACACACCCACAGGCACTGTGGTCTTTTTCTTACCTGTGCACTTAAGATTCCTCTAGTGAAAACCTCTTTCCCTAAAGAGCCTGTTCAAACAACACCCTCGTTTCTTTCCTAGTGCTCCCACGTACCTTTATTCACTTTTGTAACACCACATTGTTTTCACCTTTTTCCCCTTTAATCTTCTCAAATAGACTGAAAGCTCTCTGGAAGGAAGCCAATTTGTGTTCTACAGAAGCCACTGTCCTCAGGGTCTAGGTGATAACTATCACAAAGGAAGCATTCAAAAAAAAAAAATCTACCAAGAGGAACACAGAAATACAGGATAACGAAGATAATTTTTCCTCTTACACTTAGCTGGCATTTCTCAATCAAATCCCCACTCAAGGTATTGGTCCTGAGAATCAAGGATACAGGCTGGTTAAGATTCTTAGGATATCCTGACAACAGCCAAAATTCCCTCAAGGGAGGACCTAAACATACAATGGGCATTTGATGAAATAAAAGTTGAGAAGTGGCCAGAGACCCCTCAGTGGAGCCTGGAGGAGGTCAGGTCTAGAAATGGGGATGATTCGCCTGCATGGAGACAGAGGTGATCATTAAAGTACACAGGGGAGACATCTAGGAAGGGTGGGGAGTGGACACCCTCAGCATGAGCACATGGCGGAGAATAGAAGGGCTAGTTAAAAAAGATGACACCATCTGCTAGTATTTTAAGCTCCACAGGGGAAAGGACCTTGCGCTGTTCACTGGGACACTCGTAGTGCATGGCCTTCAGCAAGCCCTCAACACACTGTCTGAAGGAAAAAGACCGTTAGATCTGTGGCAGAATTACAGAGGAGAAACCCAGTGGTACTATCAGCCATGTGTGAGTGTGTAAACGAAGACAAGAGAAAGTTGTCAGGATCTAGAACTCAGAGGATCAGTCTCCATCCAAAGGCAAAGGGAACTCCCAAGCTGACAGCTATGTAACAGGTGCAGAGGAGGAAAGTGAAAAAAATGAAGTGAGAACTGATGGGCAGGTGACAACAGAACTGGGTTTTTGAGTTGTTGGCCATGAAAAGACTTAGCCAGAGAATCAAAAAACAAAGCAACAACAAAAAAAACAAATGAAAAAATGAAGGCAACCAATTTTAACTCCAAGAAAGATGGAAAATTCAAGAAAGAAAACATTATAGTATATTATCTTCCCTAGCAGTGAACATTTTCATAAATCATAATAAAAACTTTAAAAGCAGATTTAACAAAGACCGTGTATCAAAAAGGTGCATGGGTATGGGTAACATGTATATCCCCATCTACTATAAAACTAAAATAATTTCTAAAACTGATGAACTGAGCATAAGCATGTGTTAGTAAGTATGAGGATAAGTACTAGAAGAAAGAGATTAAAGCGTCGAGTTGTCTCTGAAGAACAGAGGAAGGGGATGAAAGAGGAAAGGGGCTTCACATTGTGGTTTAAAAAATTATCAAAAATAAATAAATAAGTAAATTAGAAATAAGAATTTTGGCACGAATTGATTTTTAAAGCTATGGCTAAAAATTACTTTGATAAAAATTAACATTCATTTTAACAAGTAGTTCCTGCCGTGAGTTTTAAGGATGACCTGTTCCCTCCAGTTTAGAAGTTACTTATTTTTTAGGGTACCTTTGTCTCTACAGACGGTAACAGCCAGAAGAAACATTACTGCAGCTGCACTGTGGTCTGCGAGAAACCTACCCACAGGATATGTCCGTAAAAAGAGTTGAGCTAAAATATCTCCAACCACACACGCACTGGGGCCGAGTCTTCCTGTGCCCTTGGCCTCCACAGCACAGGCTGGGAACAGAGCGGTGCAGGCCCTAGCGTCCTAGGCCCCTCCAGTGGGAACTCAGTGCTGCGAACCTAAGGAGGCCCAATCACCAAAGGCTCTTGTCCTCTTGTGATGTTACTCTAAGGACTGACTCTTAACATCACACAGTGAGGCGGTTACCAATTTCTAAACACAGAGACTTTATGAGCTTCCCACAGCACACAGAAGGAAGTATAGAGGGAAGGAATGTCTTCCTGAAACCTGAAATATGTGAACCGCTGTGATGGGCTTGTTCTACACCGTATCCGATCTGATTCTCCCTCCCAATAGCCACGTAAGCATTGGCTGTTCATCGAGGAAACTGAAACTCCACACATTCAAGACATTTGCTCAAAATTAGAGACCTTCCTGGCAGAAGAGGGATTAAAATTCAAAGGGAAGGGGAATCAAACCTGAATCTGATCAAGATTCTAGATCTAACTATCAATTGATAGGAAATACAGGACATAGAAGAATCAGTTAATGACGCCACAGCATATAGTCAGCAAAATCTAGATGGTCAAAACTATAGGATAAATAACATAGTTTTTTCAACAAATGAACAGCAAGAAAAAGTAAAGGACGAAGGAAAGAAAAGTTATAGATTAAGAGACATTTAAGTAACCTATCAACCAACTGCAATGAATAGAGTTTACTTGGGACTCGGTATGCCCAAAGGTTTCTGGCTCATCGAGAGAAATTTGAACAATGACTGGATATCTGATAATGTTAATTTTTAAGGTGTGATAAGGGTATTTTATGTTTTTCAAATAAGAGCCTTTATCTTTTAAAGGTAAACACTGAAATTGTTACGGATTTAAATAAAGTGGAACATTCCTTGGATATGCCTCCAAACAGTCTGGGAAGGAGGACGCTGGAGTGGGCAGGGCAGGATGAAACAGGAGGGGCAGGACTGACAGTGACTGGAGTGGAGTGATGGATAAGCATGGGCTCGTTACAATACAGTTGCTAATTCTGTGTGTTTGATGTTCATAATAAGAAGGGAAAAAATCCAGGGAACTGTGATGGGCTCCAGTGAACATGCATAAGTCAGTAAACTAAGCGACCACGTGTGTGCGGAGCGGCCTCCTCTGGGTGTGGTCCCCACCCCCCACCCACGTGGGAATCACCGTCCAGGGCAGAGCTCTGACGCACCATTTGCATACAGCAGGGAGGAGTTCTGAGCTCTAACAGTGTGCGTCAGGTTTTAGCTTCTGCCAAACAGAACTTCCCCTTAAACACCCCACTTTCATTCGAACAGTCCAACCCACCCCATTTCAAAACCCTGTAAATTTTCAAACTACCCACCCAAGCAAGCAGACACCATAAAAAAACATAAAGAGCCAGAAAGACCAGGAAAGGGATAAGGAAAGTGTAAATAAAAGGGGAACCACAAACCTTTACAACCTCCCATCCAAGTCATGAGCGGGCTGGGGGATGACCAGGGACATTACTACCAGGACCAACCCACCCCCAGGACACAGGAGCTGTTCTTTCACTTTCCATCTGGACACCACTGGAGCAGTAAAGATGCTGGGCAGGGCTTACAGATGGAAGAACCCTTTCTTTCTTGTGCTCGCTAGCTTTAGGGGGAGCTCATTCATTTTTCCCTGACAGTACGGCACCCCCTATTTAGCATGAGGAATGAGATTCAGAAATAGAAAGCACTAACTCTGCGTTCCCCTTAGAGTAATTTTACCTAAGAGTAACCTACAATTAGAGGAGTTTGTGGACAGCTGCCTGGATCTTCTCGGCAATCTAAAGGGTGAAGGAGCTAGACTCAGGGTGAGGCCATATTTATCCTGTGACCTGTGCCCAGCTGGAGGATATCAGAGAGGAGCACTGGAACACAACCTTCACACCTACCCATCCTGCCCTGCACCTAACATCCATTACCCTCCATGTCCTCATGGGTAAACCAGAACTTCCCTGTTTCTTTTTTGAAACATTTTTAAAAAAGTAGTCTCCACACCTAACGTGGGGCTCAAACTCATGACCCCAAGATCAAGAGTCACATGTTCCACCAAGTGAGCCGGCCACGAGCCCCTACAACTCCTCTGCTGCTAATCTATTTCTTTCCATTCAGTTCCTCCTGATTAGCAAATACCTTTGTGTATTTATCTTCACCCTGACAAACTCCTCAGCTCTTTGCCATCACAAACCATCCCGCTTTCCGCAAGCTAAACTCTTCTTTCCGTTATCACAGAAAGAGGTGTGACCCCACCAAGACGACCAAGCAGAGCACCTTTCGGGTGATTGCATAGTGTCCTTTGAGCTCGTGCAGGGCCCACTTGATGTCCTGACTGCTGAGCATTTTGAAGTCGGCCATCAGGAGGTCAGCAGCTTGGATGAAGCAGCGCTGGTCAAGAGGAGCCAATTTAGAATAGTCAAAAAAGTCTATCTGAGGCAACTGGAATGAGAGAGGCACAACATGAGGAGAACAGAAATGCATTTCCCACGTGGCAGAGATCACTTCAGGGACTGCTTATTACAGGACAGAAAACTCTCACCTATACTGATTATCACTCTATACAGGATACCAGGCCTGCACACAGATGAAGAAATTGGTGGCTCAGAGATGTTAAATAAGCTCCCTAGAGTCTGGTGACTAGTTTTACCAGTCAGAACTAGTAAAAAAGTATAGCTATGGATTTGAAACCAATCTTTCAGCCATCTTCTTTCCACTAGTACTTGTCCTGCTAGAGAATACGTGAGAGTCAAAATAATGTGTGGAGAGCAGAAGGACTGAGCAGCCATGAAGCAATTCTCATCCAGACTTTCCTTTACCACTTAACATGCTAAATGCCAGTTAGGATTACAAATAAAAATGATGATTAAGATTTTAGAAAATCAAACTGTTTATACCTTGATACAGGATTTAGTTATATAAGTATATGCACTGTATATAAATCTTGTATCAAAAGAAAAACTATAAACAGATAATGAACTCTAGGCAATGAAATGCATGCTATGTATGTATGGAGCAGTGGGGCGCCTGGGTGGCTTAGTCAGTTAAGCGTCTGACTTCGACTCAGGTCATGAACTCGTGGCTTATGAGTTCTAGTCCTGCGTCGGTCTCTGTGGTGACAGCTCAGAGCCTGGAGCCTGCTTCAGATTCTTTATCTCCTTCTTTCTCTGCCCCTCCCCGACTTGCACTATATCGCTCTCTCAAAAATAAACAAACATTAAAAAAAAAAGTGGTTGGATCATTTTAAGAAGTGTGTAGGGAGCAGGATGTTCAGATATTTCTGTGATTTACTTTGAAATGCATCATAATGAAATGAAATATGCGAGAGACATACTGATAGAAAACTGGATATGTGACTAAGTGGAAATAATAAAATGTTAACTTTTAATAGTACTGCTGGTACTTGGGTATATGAGTGATCAATATAAAATTCTTTTGGCTTTACTTACTGTAGGTTTGAAAATTATCATAATAAAATATTAGGGAAAAAAAAGAAATGAAAAATCCTGGCCAATACTTGCTTCATTTTAAAAACTTGCTTTGTAAGACTAAAGATATGGAGGGTTTGTTTAACTTTTTGTGGGAAAGAGAAGATGGAGTTACAACAAAAGATATTAAACACAGAAGCCAAAATGGCTCAGGTGGAAATCCCACTGAAGGAGAAATATATTCTGAGATCCCGTTTTGCTAGCTAGTCTTTAAAGATGTGTTCTGACAAAGCACTTTCTTCCCACAGAAACAAGAACAGCAGAGTACTTCCAGGTAGAGAGAGGCTGCAGAACAAAGAGCACAACACTTGCCTTGGTCTCGTCTTGGCTTGCGAGCAGGCTGCTACTGGGGTTGATAATGACTCTGTCTTCTCTCTTTGGATAATCTGGATTTTCCAGAAGAAAATTACAAAGTCTGCAAAAATAAATGACATCATTTTCAAAGTGCTTCCAAATCCTACACCTGCCCATTGATTCAAATACGATGTCTGAAAAATAATGTGCCTTGTCATACACTATGATTGGCTTAAGAAATTAAAATGTTTGCAGATAGGAAAAATGAAATAGACAAATAAAAAAACATACACTTTCTATCTTTTTGCTTCTAGTTTTAAAAAGCAATAACCATAATAAATGCACTTCTCTGAAGTTTTCTATTAGTCAATGTAATGAAGTCTCTGAAATTCTTACTGGTTGAACTGTATGGAACTGGAGAATTTAGAGGAAGGGGAAAACTCTAGGGGCGCCTGGGTGGCTCAGTCAGCTAAGCGTCCGACTTTGGCTCAGGTCATGATCTCACGGTTCATGGGTTCAAGCCCCGCATTGGGCTCTGTGCTGACAGCTAGCTCAGAGCCTGGAGCCTGTTTCAGATTCTGTGTCTCCATCTCTTTCTGACCCTCCCCTGCTCACGCTGTCTCTCTCTCGCGGTCTCTCTCTCTGAGATATATAAGACATTAAAAAAGAAAAGAAAACTAACAAATTAGGGCTGGGAAAATGCATTCACATTCACAATTAAAAATAGTTTGCTGGGGCACCTGGGTGGCTCAGTCAGTTGAGCGTCCGACTCTTGATTTTGGCTCAGGTTATGTTCCTAGGGTTGTGGGATCAAACCCTATGTTAGGCTCTGTACTAAGCACGCAGCCTGCTTGAGATTCACTCTCTCCCTATCTGCCCTTTACTGCTTATACTCCCTTCTCTCATTAAAATAAAACAAAGAACTAGAACCAGCTTGCTAAGTAAATAAATGGAAGATAAAAGACCTTCTGTGAACTAATATTTTTTGTAACCCTATGGCAATATAAGTCCCTATGAGCAACTTAGGTGGCATTCAGTTTACACAGCTAACTCCAAGAGTGAAGTTTCTTTAGTTTTAGTTCTTTGGTTTCTTTATAACAAACTCATAGCCTTGTCCTTTTATCACTCATGAAATACTCTGAAGGCAAGGATATAGAGTAAGATGATATACACTGATGGATCATCACTCAGATTTAACAAATGTTAATCAGCAAGGTTCTTCACCCTGAAACAACCAAATGTGGCACCAAACTGAGCTCCTGGGATGATTCTACAGCGACAGGAAAAGCCTGGGCGGCATGTGGCACAAGTCATTGCAGCAGCAGGGAGGCTTACGGACTCAAAGGGGCATGGAGCCCCCCCGCCCCCATCCTTTTCCCTTCCCTTGTTCCTGCAGGTTCCCAGGATGACTCCGCCCCATGATTCTTTCCAGGTCTCTCCTGTCCAGCATTGGCTCCAACAGTGGAGCCTTTACTTGCAAGACAGGTGGTAAGCAGGTAAGAAAGACGGGAGGAGGAGAAAGAAAAAGCACTCCCCTCCAGCGTCTCTTCTCACTCACAGGCCAGTGTGGGGGAACTGAGCAATAGAGAGGCATGCTTCTTCTGCAACCCCCTGAGGACCCTCAGAACCAGCCTGACTGCAAAGCCCTCTCTCCTTAGCCTACTCGAGGACCTGGTCAGCATCCGCTGACATCTTCTTCACCATCACTTTAGGAACCCCATTTGCTTCTCACATGCAAGCTCTCTTCCCGACCGCCATGCCTAGTCTACTGGAACATAGTACTATTGGAACATGTCAGAGGCCCAGAGACGGAAAATCCTCTTCCTGCATCACAGCTGTAACAAGGAGAGGCACCCCTGGTCCAAAACTCTGAGTGTAATTCCCTTTGAAACCAAGAGTACTAATGGAGATTTTCTGTTCTAGCACAAAGTGATGAGCGCTCTAGTTATACAGGTCTTTGTAGGCTGACCTGAGGATTAGCCATCACAAGAATCGCTCTGTATCTTTGGAGAAAACCTCAAGGTCTAAACAACTCTTCGCATGCACATCTGGACATACTACAACCCAGATGTGGAGCAGCTCCTCCATTTCAAACGTGCCCCTTTGTAATGTTTTGGGAAGTGTGGCTACCACAATCCAACAAACTGCCAGGTATTAGGAATTTGGGGAAAGATAAAAAAAAAGGTCACACAGTAAAGAAGCTTCTTTAATAGACTAGTCATTCATGAGTGAAGCCAACAGTCTCCAAGTGGGATGCATGAAAGATGATCTGCTAGGGTACTGGAATAAACTATAACTGCTATTTTTAAAAATTTCACCCTTTTAAGATTTTTCTGTTTGTATAGATTTTCTAAAGTGCACAACACAAAATTACAGTATATGACACAGAGGTAGAATGGGAAGTATAATTTCTGGAAAACAAAACAAAACAAACTCCCAACCATATTTTGGGGGTTCTTCTCTGACCCATTCATTTTGTATTTTATTTTTTGTTTGTTTATTTTTGAGAAAGACAAAGTGTGAGTGGGGGAGGAATAGAGAGAGAGAGAGAGACAGACTCTGAAGCAGGCTCCAGGCTCTGAGCTGTTAGCAGAGCCCAATGTGGGGCTCGAACTCACAAGCCATGAGATCTTGACCTGAGCCAAAGTCAGACACTTAACCAACTGCGCCCATCCAGGTGCCCCTCATTTTGTTTTTTGAATCTTAAAAAGATCACATACTGAAAAGCTCCAAGATATGGAATTCTACAAGGCAGAACTCAGAGGCTCTCACTCTGTTACATATTTTTCAATTTTTAAAATAATTTTTAAAAAATGTTTTATTTATTTTTAAGACAGAGAAAGGGCATGAGAGGGAGACAGAATCTGAAGCAGGCTCCAGGCTCTGAGCTGTCAGTACAGAGCCCGACATGGGGTTTGAACCCACGAACCGTGAGAACACGACCTGAGCTGAAGTCAGACACTTAATCAGCTCAGCCACCCAGATGCCCCCAAAAATTCAGAAATAAAAAATTCTTGCTTGAAAATATCAGTAGCCAACAGGATGGTGAAGACGGATGATGAGGACTAGAGCCATGGGAGGCATGCAGAAGTAGGTCCAAAGGTGCATTATTTGTCAAAGCCAAAAAGTAGAAACAACTCAACTGTCTATCAAAAGTAGAGGGAAGGGGTGCCTGGGGGACTCAGTCAGCTGAATGTCCACTTCAGCTCAAATCATGATCTCATAGCTTGGGAGTTTGAGCCCCGTGTCAGCCCTGCTGACAGCTCAGAGCCTGGAGACTATTTCAGATTCTGATTGTCTCTCTCTGCCCCTCCCCTGCTCACATACTTTCTCTCTTTCTCAAATATAAACATTAAAAAAAAAAGTAGAGGGAAACATTAACAGTATTTTGATACAAACAGAATACCACATAGCAACGAAAACGAATGAACTATAGTTATACAGGGCACGGAGGAACCCCAGAAACAGAACGCTGAGTGAAAGAACCCAGTCACAAAAGAATAGAAAAATAGGAAATCTTCCCAAAATCTTCAGTGTTCACAGATGGTGGCAACATTCTAATTTTTGAGGATTTCTGGGTGGTAGTTACATGCACACTTGATTTGTGATAATTAACCTATCTTTATCTTGCCCATTTTTCCGTTTCTATATTCCAAGTCCACGATAAAAAAGGCTTGAAAAATGCTGAATGTTAAAAATGAACTTGCAAATGTGCATGGCACATTCCCCAAGATAGATCACATACTGGGACATAAAGCAACCCTCAATAAATATAAAAGAATTGAGATCATACCATGCACAGTGTCAGATCACAATGCTTTGAAACTTGAAATCAATTACAGGAAGAAGTCTGGAAAACCTCCAAAAACATGGAGGTTAAAAAACACCCTACTAAAGAATGAATGGGCCAATCAGGCAATTAGAGATGAAATTAAAAAATATATGGAAACAAATGAAAATGAAGACACAACAATCCGAAATCTATGGGATGCGGCAAAGGCAGTCCTAAGAGGAAAGTACATTGCTCTCCAGGCCTATTTCAAGAGATTAGAAAAAGCGCAAGTCCAAAATCTAACAGCTCACCTAAAGGAACTAGAGGCAGAGCAACAAGAATGCC